AGGTAGAAGTGGGTTAGGTGTCTACAATTAAGCAAGGGTGCCATCAGCTGCAGAGGCCAAGCTTTCTGTCAGAGCTAGAGCTTGCTTTGAATGAGAAGAAGACAAGGCATCCTGCACAGCACAAACAACCACGGCGCCCATCACACCCCTTCGTATTGCTGTCCCCGAGATTAGCCGGTTACTTCCGCTGGGAGTGATGACCAGAGGGATGGAAAAGCAGGGAAACCCATGTTTCCTTTCCTTCCTGACCTTCCTTACTCTCCTGCAGGCTGAAGGTGCGGAGTGCTGTGGACACACACCAGGACATGGAACACAGGCAGCTGTGCTCATTTTTTCCCCACTGTTCTGGGCAGAATGATATAGATATGACTACAAATGGGCACATTTGTAATTTCACATTTTGTAATTTCAGTTAAAATTGCACTGCATGATACAAAGAGGAGTGGTATAATTCACACTAATACTTTAAAACTTGAGTATATCTTAGAATGACATTGGCTAGCGCATCAAAACACTATGAGAAGTTGAGAGAAAGACCATGAAGAAAGGAAAAAGCTTTATATTTCAGTACTTTCAGTGGTCCCCTCTCTGGGTACTGAGCAAGAGGCCCTGCACATGGTCTGAGGGGCCAGGGAGTGGCCTTCTGGGGCTGCTGGTGACGTGCGTCAGGTTCCATTCCCGGGCTGGGGCAGTGCTTTGCCAGCCCCTGTGTGGGTCACAGCTGCCCGCTTATTTTGAGACTCGTCCTCGGAGCACGGGCGATGCCTCACCGGGGAAGTTCCGCCTGGCTGACTTGGGAACATGGCAGTGGCCCTGAGTCTCAGCAGATGACAGCTCTGCCGCGTGGTTTGTGCTTCCCTGGGGGATCAGGCGAATCCCAGACTTTAGTCAGACTTCACCTCTGCCTCACTTTCCCCGTCCTGAGCCCACTTCCTTCATTATCATGAGGTTTGTGATGAAAACTCTCTCAATAAAACACAGGGGCCTGAACCCTGTTATGATCTCCACTTTCAGGTAACTCAACCTAAGTCAGTGTCACACACAGACACACACACACACACACACACACACACACACACACACATACACATACTGGAAATAACATTTTCACAAAACAGTATTAAGATCTTGTATTATTCTCTTTAGTTGTCCTAAACTGACTTACACAATCAACTCCCGTTTACTAACAGACACGATCTGCAGCTTGGAAATGACTGAGGTATGGGACTCAAGGGGTGGACGCAACTAATTATGTGCAGATGTCAGGGAGCATCAGAGAAAGATAAACCAGAACGGGGCATGAAGGGATGAGGGGAAGTTTTCCAAAGCAGTACCAGAGGGGGTTATTTCAGGCAAGGGGCGGGAGAGCATGTCCGAGAAGCTCGGAGCGGACTTTCTCAGAGCACTGTCATGGCCTTGGCCAAGCTTGTCCCCGGGCGCAAGGAGGAGGAGGGCTGTTCCTCAGCTCGGAGCTCTCCTCACTCAAAAGACAAGAAGTGTGCACTCACAGTGCCTGGCTCTCCAGCTCTCCAGACCCCAGCTTTCTAGAACTTTTTGTTTTGAAGAGGAATGCATTGAAGTAATGCATTGAAGTTCTTCTCAAAGGCCCTAATTCTTCTGTGCTTGGTTCTTCCTTCCCTGCGTTTCTATTCATGAGGGTAATACAAGCTCACACTGACTGAGCGCTCACAAGAGCCAGGCACAGTTCTATGCCCACGATCAGCATCTGTGGCACGTGACAATGGCTGTTCGTAAATGCCTTACCTCATTCTGCTCATCAGCACTTATGCTTTGCCTCTGATTTTTCTTCAGCATTATGTTTCCTTTTTTAATTCTGAAATAATTTCCTTGTTGCTGGAAGTATACATCATGTGTTTGCAAAGCTGTTGTTAATATCTTAAAAAGAAAAGAGGTGACAGTTTAGCTAACCATCAAAGGTACCAGTCATACTCTACTTTAAGAGATTCACATTATACTATAATTAAAAAGGTAACCACGAGTCTCATTTGATAGCCCCAGGAAGAAGTAATGCAGGAAGTTTATAATTTATTTTTTTGTTTCTCTGTGAAAAAGTAGAAATTCTCAATGGTCTAAGGCCAAATTTTGGGTTTTCTTTTAAAAGATACTGTGCTAGTGAAAGCCTAACCTGAGAAAATATTCAGTTGTGAGCTATTGATTTCTGATGTTTCAAGATGGCACCAAAGCTGTGTTCCAGTGTGAAATCTCAGGGAAGAAGTTGGGGAAAGTCATGCGTAGGCGCGCTATGGAGATTCAAAGACTTCTTAGCTATTATTGCTCTGACACTACAGACCAGCTGCTTTAGTTCTTACAGTTTTTAGATTTTGGTTCCCATAAGAAGTTATATTAAGGTAGGCAAATTTCACCAAACTAAAGGAAAGGGATTGCATCTGTGCAGCTCCTGGCTCAAAACCCTGGCTTTTTTCTCTTTTCTATCATTCTCTTGGTTGTTTAGCTGCCAACCCACTTAAAATCTCCAGTGGCTCCACATTTCCAAATTTTCACTGCAGCGTTGATACTGTTGTTTGCTTGGCTGATTTTATTGTTGGTTTAACAAACAAGAGTTTGAATGCTACAGGCTCCCTGGCTGCTCACCATGAGCGTGCGGCACTATGGTCAGCTCTGACCTGCGTCAGAGACCCCGTTTATTCCACAGTGCCCTGTGCAGACCCTCAGCCCTGCGATCTGGGCAGCCCCTGGGCCTCCGTAGTGAGGAGCCCTTGGGATGGGTCACACCGGCCTTCTACCTGTGCCTCCTTCACCCATTGTATTCAGGTTCTAACACAAAATTTCATTTTACTGGTATGCAGAAAGCAAATATAGAATGAATGTTAAGTCTATACTAAATTCTATATTATATTAAATTCAACCATTATTAGTGTTATGACTTGAAGTCATGTTTTCGCTCCATGGCAAGTAGCGACTCATTCCCTACTCTTCTCTTTCAAAGTGTTTCTGGGAAAAAAAAAAAGCCAGTGTTTCCCAAGCTTCAGAGCAGTTACCTGGGGACCTTGTTATGTGCAGACCTGACTCAGTAACCGGGATGGGCTCAGCTTCTATGAGCTCCCAGCTGATGTCCATGTCCCTGGCCTGCACACTATATTTTGAGTAACAAGGAGATATCTATCTATCTATCTATCTATCTATCTATCTATCTATCTATATCTTAAAGAGTCACCAGCAAGTTAATTGTAATTCTCCTTATTGTCCAGTTGAAGTATTAAAACAATTATCCATAGCATGCAATCTCGGGTTTCCATCCATTTATATTTAAAGCTTCAATCTTCCTCATCTCTCTGTCACTTTTTAGAGCCTATTTATTCCTGCTTAGACTATTACAGACCACTCTCTCTCCAACTCGGCCTTCTCTTCTGCTAAGTTTGCAAGAACACTAAAGACAGCCTTCCTCCCATCATTTTCTTGCTCAGAAAGCTTCAGTGACTTCTCATTGTTCAAAGAATAAAATTTAGTCTCCTTAATTGGAGACTATGATTTTATTTTCCAATACTTCTTCCCTCTTTTAACTCCCTACTCTGTGAATACAGCTGCATTATTCCTCCTCTAAGATGACATTTATCCTTTCCTCTGGCTAGGTTGTCTTCCTGGCTCTCCCACAATCAAAATCCCCTTGTTTTCAAGTCTCAGGCCAAATTACACCACCAATTAAGCCCATTTGTAAGGGACTTCTCATGGCTCAGAAGTGCTAACAACTTACCAACCCTCCCTGTCATCTTGCTCCGTCTTGATCAATGTATATAACGGTATTAGCGAGAGTTAGAACTCCTGGGGCTTGGGGCCCTAACAGTCCCCCCTTTTATACTGATGCTGAGCTCAGCATTATGCATGTGGGTGGCAACATCTTAATAAGTTAGGGGCGATTTCTTAAGGTATTCTTTAGTTTTAAACCAGGCTCTCAATCTCTACTCCTGGTATGACTTTGGTCAAGTTACCTAGCTTTCTAATGTTTTTCCTCTTCTGAAAATTAGGGATGAGACTACTTAGGGCTGTTTGGATACATATATATATATATATATATGCCCATATATACACACACACGTATATATATATAGTGAAGTATAGAGCAGTAAATAAATGGAAGTTTTATTAACAATATATAAGCAATAGCACCATGTTATAGTTTGTGTCTGTGTGTCCCCCCAAAGCCTCATGCGGTCATGGGGCAGGCTTTTAGAGTTTGATTGACTATGGGTGTGAGAGCTACACCCGGCCTGGGGTGGAGAGTTTGCATATGTAAGGGAGAGGAAGAGGGTGCTTCTGGCCATTTCCTCCCTTGTGTGTGTGCTTTTTGCTTTGCTGTATTCTGCTGCCATGAGCTGCAACCCTCTGCCATGTGCCACTCTGCCTTGTAATCTGCCAAGTATGGACTGAAACCTCCACAAACTGTAAGTGAAATAAACCTTTTCTTCCTTAATTTTGGGCGTAAAGTATTTTGTCCCAGCAATGAGAGAAAAGTAACCAAGACACACCAGCATAGTAAGAATACCACAAAAGAACATTAAGTGAATGCAGATGTTATGGCTTGTGTCTAGATGTCCCCCAAAAGCCTCATGCAGTCATAGGTTGGGCTTTTTTGGAAGTGGCTGCTGGGACTGATATATGGAGCAGTGCTAGGATTAAAGGTGTGCGTGCTACCAGCCCTGAGTAGCCTGGATAAGATATAAGGGTTAGGAAGAGCTGTGGTCATCCCTTGTTGCTTTACTACCTTCTGCCTGCCATGAACTGTTTCTCCCTTGCAATGCCCCCTGCCATGGCTCCTTGCCTCAGAGCCAGCTGACTATCGACTGAAACCTTTACAAATTATAAGCTCTCTCTTCCCTCCTTTAACTTGTGGTATTGGGTATTTTGTCTCAGCAATGGAAAAACAGCAGCTAATTAAATGGTGCCTGATTTAAATGTTTTCAACTATAATTAAAGATCTTATCCTCAGAGAAAAATTATGCAATTGGTGTCCTCTAAACACTTAATCTCATCTCAAATTCTCTTTCTTTTGCCACAGGTATTACTTTCTAATCTCTTAGGAAAAATTTACTTGCCTTTTAAACCTATTCTCTATCCTTGGGTTTTTCTTTAAGCCACGGAGAGAGTCATAAGGATTCATGTCATGAATGACAGGACCCTCTGACAGTGACACCGGCCTTCCTTCCAACGGTGCTCCTGACCCCTGGCTGGGAGCTGGACCGGCATCGTTGGTCCTGTCCTATTGAATTGCTCAGCAGCATCCACCACATGGCACGTGCTGAATGACTGTTACATGAATAAATGGTCCATCTGTTTTGATCATGCTCATTTTGTTGGTTTTTTCTTATCTAAAAGATAGGAAATACTGGGTTCACAGTTGAGGCCTAACTATAGAAATACTTCTTTCCAAAGTGTTTCTTTGTGGTCACCAGCATACGGATGCAGTGTGAAAGAGCAGCAAGATGAACTGAGGCATGGAGTTGTTTCACTTCAGCCCCAGTCACCACAGTTGTATATCTGCATAGACACAGGGAAGTCTCGTGGTTTGCCTCACGTGCAGTCATTAAAACAGCAAATTCCAAGCCTCCCACGGGCCACCGTCAGCACTCTTCACCAACCGATCCCGGATCCGAGAGAGACCCCAGGAAATGACTTGAGCACTGGTGCCCCGAATGAGTTCCCCAGCTTTCTCTACCCAGACCTTGTCCTGAGAATTGAGTTTCACATGCATTCTCTCCTGAGTCTTTTGCCTTGAGTCACCTGTCCTTTCCCCTAGTCCCATACTCCTGGCGCCACACTCTTGACAATCTTTTGTACTTTGTTCATGAATTATCACAGATCCATGAAGTCTCCACTGGGTGTCAGGCACGGTGCTAAGCACTCATGCAACAATGGTGAATCCAAGACACCCCCACTCCATGGAGGTCATAGCGTCATGGGGGAGACAGAGAAACAGATGTCCAATCAACATACTCTATCTGATGCTTGCACTGAAAGAGCAAAGATAGAGTCTATTTTATCACAGTTTTATCTGATGTGCTTTTCTGTGCCAAGCTCTGTGCTAGGCCTGGGATACAAAGTAAGCAAAGCACAGTCTGTCCTCAGAATTTACACAACCTGCCGTTGCTTGATATAGCAGTTGTTGTTGTTTTTTTAATGTTTTTCTTCCGGTACCAGGAATCGAACTCATGACTTTGCACTTGCCAGGCAAGCATTGTGCGGCTGAGCTAAATCCCCAGCCCCCGCTTGGTAAACCAGTGCATCTCAGAGCTGCATCTGGAAACAGTGGCATTCCCTCCCAGGTACACTAACTGTGACCTCAGGTGTGTGCTGCATGTATTTACCTGTGCACCATCAAATGAAGTCTGTGTGGAGAACAAAGGAAATATGATCCAAAGGCGCCAGTCCTTGGAGTGGTGTGGCTTCCTCTGCCTCACGGAGATGGAAATTCAACAGAGTGAAGTGGCTGGGGACAGCTTCAGTGCAACTGCGGCCAACAGCGTGGGGGTGGCATTCACGCTGCTCTGGGTGTGCAGAGCTAGGGGCTTCTGGAGTTTGGACTCATCTACCAATCACGCCATGAGAGGATGATGAGAGGCCTTGGGCTCCGCCTGACTGGTCTTGAAAAGTGAATTCAGATCCAGGGAACCCAAGTAGCCATTTCTCTGGTCGTCTAGTGCTGCTCCAAAGACTAGGAAAAGGGTGTGTGTGAGGACCTGTCTCTACAGGATGGCACACAGTTGGTCTTTCAGGCAGGCCAATCACACCTTTCAGGCATCCACCCCACCAGCTGAGTACAGGGCGCAGCAGGGTTGTCCGGGTATTGTTTCAAGCAGAAGTACAATGGAAACCAATTCTAAAAGCACCAGTTTGTGCTGAAGCTGGGTCATTTAAGTCCCCTTTGAGAAGTTCTACCATTCTACTTGCAGCTGTTGAATAAAACCCTTAGGTTCCTTCACCACAGGAATCCTGGGGCCTTTGCTTACAACACTGAAATATTTGAGGGTAGAAAAATCAAGGAAGCTGACTTTAAGATATTCTTCGCATGTCACGGTTCAGTGCAGGTAGCCATTTGTAAGCCAGTTGTTCTGGCACGAGGTGAGCCCGTGCGAGAGTCAGCTCTGCGCTTTGGGACTGTTTCATCATTGCAACATCTTGAACTTCACGCAGCATGAGCAGCTGGAGAGATACAAACAGTTACTTTTTAGGTCTGGTACCGTTTAGTATAAACCATTCAGAAAGATGCATTTTCCCCTCCAACCTCAGTTTAATATGCTCAGATAAAATTTAGATTTCACTAGGCATGCAACTTTTGTTTAGGACGGTCTTAACTCTCCACGATTTTTGGTTGTCTTAGAAAAGTTTTATGTGTAATTTTACTCAAAAGGTTTACTTCAAACATTAAACAGTGATGTAAGGTGTATAGCATGCAGCAGGGAGCTTTTGGAAAATTTCCCCCAAAGCACACCCCAGTTTAAGAAAACCAAAAAAGGTGAAATAAACTACCCCCTTCAGGATGTGGTTGTAAAAAAGCAAGGACAAGACACCGTATCAGCCACTCCAGGGTGCCACTGGACAGGTGTGCTTGTGTGTCGCCTGCTGGATGCTCAGGCTGCGCCATGGTAGGCAATCCCCGCCTCCCACCCCGTCTCCTGGCAGCCCCAGCTCCGTTCTTTTCCTCCTGCAAACGCATCAGGCACTGTACCGCACAACGGTATTACCCCAGCAGTGAAGAGTCAGCCCCAGGCTAAGCTCTGCCCGGGATGGGGGATGCGCGGATTGGTTGCCTTCAGGGTTCCGGTCGCACAACAGGGCACCTTTCTTTGTGCTGCCGCATATGCTCAGAGACTTGCATGGCTGAACTTTCTTTTTTATGCAAAGTTTTTAGGTTGTCCGACCCAGCTTAGAGAAAATCCTTTCTCTTTTTTTCTTTTTCTTCTTTTTTTTTGTCTTTTTGAGGAAGGGTCTTGCTCTACGGTTCAGGCTGGCCTTGAGCTCACATTGTAGCCCAGGCTGGTCTTGAACTTGCAACGATCCTCCTGCCTCAGCCTCCCGACTGCTGGGCTTACAGGTGTGCCACCACGCCTAGCTTTAAAGTACCTTCTTTTAAAAAATTTTTATTTGTGCGCTTTTACAGTACATAACGGTTACCTTCATTGTGAGGGGTGGGCACATGTACATGACACATATCTTTTCTTTTCTCATTCCCTTCCTCTCCCCTCCATCTCCTGGTCCCCTTCCCTTTTGCAAAAGATCTCTTCCTTGCTTCTTATGACCTATCATTTTCCTTCTTCACAAGTACTTCCTTGCTTCCTTTTTCCCCCATCTCCATTTTCCCATCCTAATATGATTTCAGTGAAGCAACTTAAAATGTCAGCACCAAAAAAATATCAGCGCCAAACTATTTCCTCATAGGCACATGTTTCTTATTTATCAGCTACATTTCTTCAGACACATCAAGGTCACTGTTCTTTTATTAGGTTAAGTTTTTGTTTTTCCTTTTTCTGAAACGTCACAGTGGGTTGCCAAGACTGGAGAACAAAGAAAAGAGCTGGGCTTGAACATCCCCGTTGCATGACACATTTCTGAAGGAGTGAAAATGTTTTATTTTACTAATTTTAGGGGATACATGCTCATAGGTATAGTAGTGTCTGTGAACAATCCAAGAGTTTGTTTCTCTTAGGAATCTAAAATACTTTGTTTGTTTGCTTGTTTTTTTAAGGAGCTCACGTAAAGATATTTTTAGGCAGAAAATAGGAGCGGTGAGAGGCTGTGTGGTTGGCCGGATGGGCCCAAAGGGGGCACGGATGAACGTCCTTCTCTTACATTGTCGGCCACTGCTAAGGACAACGGCGGCAAAGCCTCTCGGCATCTCTGGCTGGTGGGCTGGCCCGGTCCAGTGGTGAGCTGGTGCGCGGGTATCAGCCCGCTCTCTGGAGGACCGGGGGTGGAGGGGGCTGCTGCAGAGTGTTTGCCAGTCTCTGTAGTATAAATACTCAGACCACACGAGCGCCAGAATACAACAGAGCAAGGAGAGCAATGAACAAGACCAAGCCCCTTCGAAGCAATGGCACTAGAAATCTGCATCGCTTCATAAGCGGGAGCTACAGGTAGCACATTCTCCGCAGAGCGGTCCTGGTTCCGGGGCATAGGCCCTGGCCTGGATCCGCATCACAGGCTGAGAGCGGCGAGCTCCCGAGGGGACACAGTCACAGGCGGAAAGCACAGAGTAACAGTTATTCTCCTTCTCGAGTCTCCGCCTTTTGTAAATGTCATTCACTGCTCACACCGAGCAGACGTGGCTGCAAACACAGGGCAGCCTGCGCTGGAAGTCTGCCGTCTGCCTGGCGACTCTGTTATACCGCTTGCAGCTCCACGCAGGAAATCTCATCCCAGGCCCGCCCAGAGCTCTGCAGCTGACACAAGTCAGTGGAGGAGGGTGTGTAAGCTACAGCACTGGCACCATCAGCCTGCATGATGCTGGCCAGGCTGCTGACTCGGGGGCCGGGGTTTCCAAGCGTCACGGTTATCGCTGACTCGTCCCTCTCTGGCAGACGCAGCTATCACTTCCCTCTCTCTTCTTCACCGCTGTGTTATTTTTTTCCTCTGCACTCTCCCGCTCCTGTGGCTCCTCCACCCATAGATATTTCTGAGTCCTGCTTACGTTATGACAGCTGAAGGCAGCCAGAGCCAGGTACACACTTCCTCGGCAAGAACAGCCCACTGGCCAGCAACTGATGAGTGGATACATCACATGGAGCATAGCCATCCAAGGGGATAGACTTCAGCAATTAAAATAAAAAAACATTGGTACTTGTTACATATGGATGAACCGTGAAGACAGGCCAAGTGACACAAACCAATCACAAAAGACCTTGTAGTGTATGATTCCTTCTGTATGAAAGATCCACAACAAGTAAAGGTGCAGCGACAGAACACTGATTAGTACTTGCCCGGTGCAGGGGGACGGGGAGCAGGGAGGTAGTAGCTGAAGGGTATGGGGTTTCTTTCTTTCTTTTCTTATAAAATGCATTAACAAAATTTAGCATCATTTTTCAGTGAAGTGCATTTACACTGTTATGCAACTAAATTCCAGAACTCTTTTCATTTTTTAAAACTGAGATTCTGAACTCATGAAACAACTCCCAACTCCTCTTTTCCCCAGCCTCTGGCAATGACCATTTTACTTCCTGTCTCCATGAATTTGATGGCTCTCTAGTTACTTCCTATGAGTGGAATTATAGTTTTTTTTTTTTCTCGTTGGAGTACGGGGCATTAAACTAGAAGGGCCTTGTGCTCCCTAGGGAAGTGCTCTACCATTGAGCTCTATCCACATACCTTTTTGTTTTCTTCTGAAAGAGACAGTCTCATCAAGTTGCCCAGGCTGGTCTCGAACTTGTGATCCTTCTGTCTCAGCTTCCCCTATACCTGGGATGATAGGTGTACACCACTGTACCCAGCTCAATTTTTGTTTTTTGTGACTGCCTCATTTTTCTTAGCATGATGCACTTAAGGTTCAGTCATGTTGTAGCACATGCTAGAATGTCCTGACTTTAAGGTTGATTATATATATATATTACTTTTTGCCTAAGGATAGGGACGAGGATGTGTCCATTCTCTGATGGATCCTTGGGTCACTCCCATCTTTTAGCTATGGTGAATGATGCTGTTATGAATACAGTTGTACAACTACCTCTTTGAAAATCTGCTTTAAATTCTTTTGGAATATATCCAGAAGCAAGATTTCTTCTTGGGTTGATAAAAATGTTCTAAAGTTGATTGTGTTGTTGGTTATGTAACTTTGAATATACTAAAATCATCAATTATACTCTTGAAAAGGTAAATTGTATGATATGTGAATTATTTGTTAATAGAGATCTCTCTCTCTCTCTCTCTCACACACACACACACACACACACACACATAATCACATAAAAATAAAACCAGTGTTCAGCCTGTTCTCATAGGACATCATGTTAGAGAACCAGGTAGACACCAGGAGTGTTAAAAAGTGTGACTGAAAGTTGTTTTGATTACAAAATTCACTATCATGACACTTAATGTTGCCATCACATCTGAGAGGAGCCCTTTATGACAGGAAGATTCAGCCCTTCGCTCTCTAAACACACAAGCAGCCCACAATTCCTCAGAGGGCCAAAAATATGGAGCACAGCGCCACGATCAGATGGGAGTTGTTTACCTACATTCCCTGAGCACCCCCGGCTCTATGAGGCCTTAAGCAGCTTAAACTTCTGTGATCCTTTATGCACGGGCTGCCCATTTGACCCCAGAAAACTGCTGCCATTGTTTCCCCGCCATCCCTCTTGCTTCTGTAATTTTTCCCTTTGTCAGAGAATTCATGAAGCCATATGGGGAGGGGTGTGAGAGGAAAGGGAAAAATTATTAAAAAATAAACCCCCTAAAACTATGCCTCGAAAATGACCCAAGAAGCCTTCATAATGCATCACATAAGATAGTAAATCTGTATGAAGAGTCCCAGTGCAGGCCATTTTCCTAGAGGTTTTGCCATTTGGCATTAAATTTCTTGGCACCGCCCCCTTCCGCCTGGCCTAAGGGGGACGCGAGCGCCCTCTGCTGGTCACTTATGATAAATTTAGTAGACTACGGACAAAAGTTGTCTCCTAACTGCTAAAATCTGTGGTAGTTACTGCATCTTTTACAAGACTTAGAGGTCGGTAGGACTCTTAGGTGCTTACGATTAAAGACTTTTAGGGCTGACAGCTTTCAAAAGCACCCGGGTTGGTGGCCCAGTCCTGAGGACTCACACCGGCAGCCCCTGGGTCAGAGGCGCTCAGCCCGTAGTTGTTGGCCTTGCACCGGTTGCACTCGGCTCCTTGCACGATCTCCTTACACAAGCACTGGCCTGTCACAATGCCTGAGGCAGGATCAGAGCGCCTCACACAGATGCCATCAGGCATGGTCCCATCAGAGTCGCACTCACAAGCTGGGGTCACAGAAATGCATTCTTAGTTAATTGCAAGCTGTGGGAAACGCCGAAACATAAGCATAGCATTTTACCCACGCTAGAACTATTTCACTTTGTTTAAATAATTAAATATGTTTACATAAGTAGACTCAGGGAAAAGCCGTTCAGAAGGGCTCCCAGATTTCAGGTCTTGGAAAATGTCAGGTAATTGCATACATTTATTTTAAAAAGACTTTTAAATGATTATGAAGTCAGGGGATCAGAGGGAGCCTGCTATTTTGAAAACTGAGTGTTAACAATGGACCTATTCTTTCTTGAGGGGGGGTGCATGAAAATGTTTTGGAATTAATTTTGATAGACGTGATGGTCCCACAACATTGTGCTGCTGAGCTGCTGTGCATTTAAAAATGGTTACTAATGTTATGTGATTTCAACTCAATAAAAAATGGATTAAAAAGACTCTAAAGGTTAAGAGAAGGTCAAGAGGCAGGCCGGAATGGAATGTTGTGGCTGTAATGATGTATTTGTCTTATTGCAAGGGACATGTGAAAATAAAAGAAGTCCTGTGAGAGGTCTACCGAGTCTCTGAAACACGGTTAAAAGCTAAGTCTGCTTTTCATCATAGACAAAATAAACCTCCAGGAAAGTGTATCATTCTTTTTTACCTTTTTCCCTGGAACTTCTCCAACAAAGAAACGGAGGGGACAGTGAGACCGACTCATACACTTGGATCCTTTTTAGAAATCTGCTGGGGAGGGGAAAGCTTGGATGAAGAGATTCTGGAAAATGGGATAAGCAGACATCTGCAGCAAAGGAGAAACAAAGGAGTGATTTTTTCTTTTTCAGTGGAAATTTGAACAATGCAAGAAAGGAACGTCTATGGAAAGGGTTGCTGAGAGTGGGAATAACTCCAGTGGGGAAGACAAGGTCCTGAGGGGAGAAGGACCGGATATAAGAAGGTTCTCGCTAACAGACAGGGCTGCCTGACCCAGTGGGATTCCTTTCTCACTGAGAGTGCCCAGGTAGGTGCTGAAATGGCACTCACGGCTTTGGGATGGAGGATGAGCGCGTTGGTAGCACTGGTGACCACTGCGGTCTCTTGCACCTTTGTGCTGTTGGGTTTCCGTGCTGTTCCTTTTTTAAAGAATGCAATAAACATAAAAAGTGAACATCTTCGCTTTAAAGAATAACCTTGTCCACATTTACACGTGTTTGCTTAGGATTAATAAAAACAAAACCCTTGAGGGTAAAGCTATGTCTATATAGAAACCATTTAGTTTTGTGAGTTCAGGGGAAAAAACCCAGTCCAACCAGTAGCTTGGTGTCATTGAAGCAAAGCCTCGGTTGTCTGACAGAATCTTCCAACTTCTGGTTGTTTGCTGTTGGATTGTGACTGGTGATAAAATCTTACTATGGAAAAAGAGCATTGGGTTCTGTTTAGTTTGGAGGAAAAAACCCCTATAATTTTCTTCTAATTAAAGCCAGTTGCTTCCAGAAAGGAAAGACAAATCCAAATTCATTTTAGAAGTGGCCAAAAGGAAAAAAAAGCCTCAGCTTTATTTGGGAGGCACTCCCGAGGGTCAGTGCTGAGCCAGAGTAAAATTTAATTATGCACACAAGTCTCCTTCGGGACCAAGCGAGTGGACAGTGACTTTCCTCGGAAATAACTCTACGTTACAGCCTCTACAAGTCCGACAAAGCCTCTTGCTGTCACAGTTTGATTCTAACAAACTTTTATTAGCAGTGGCTGCCTACTAAATCTTTGTTTTTCTGTGTGACATTTAACTGTGTCTCATGGAGACTTTAAAATTGGCCAATTCTTAGGTCTGGAATCTGTTTACATAAATATTTGGGTTCAAGCAAGGGCAGCCTAGAGAGAATTCATATGTGAGCTCTAATCAGTGTATACAAAGTAAATTCGTGTTAGGTCAACCGGAAGAAGCTGGGAAGTTTCAGGAGAGACGTCTGTTACAAGCTCTTCAACGCCACGCTTACAATGAATGACTTCTTCATTTCCTACCAGAGAGACCAACGTTCTGTCCCTGTTTTTTCTTTTTTCAAAAGCCCCACCAACATAATACTAACTAGTTCTGAAGGAAAAGACCTTGGCTGATATGTCTGAAAAGTTTAGTTTATTATTACCAAACTCTTTCTATTTTGCTAGACTATCTGGTTAAAAACATCGTATTTCCCTGATTCTACCCAGATAGCAACAGAATCTTCTAAAAATACATAGCTTTGAAAAACATTAATTAAAATTGAGTGGGGGTATGTTCATATGACTTTAGATTGCAGTAAAAACTAATGGGATTTTGCTTTTATACATGTTTTTTGAGAGTCCAGTTTTTCATATTATTTTTTTTCTTTGAGACAGGGTCTCACTGTGCGGTTCAAGCTGACCTTGAGCTTACTATGTAGCCCAGACTGGCCTCAAACTCATGGTAATCCTCCTGCCTCTGCTTTCCGAGTGCTGGGGTTATAGGCCTATGCCGCCACACCTGGTTTTCATATCAGTTTTGAGTAGGTCATGTAATATCAAATTTTAAGTTGGTGAATACTGAGCAAAACCTTCTACTGATGCTTTTTCTATACTATGATCATTTAAAGCTTGAAATCTAGGACACTGAATGTATCCAAGTGCTACCGAATGGGTTTTGTGTTCACATTTTGTTTTATTATGATTATATAAAGTTCAAAGTTACAATTTCACAGTAGTCCCTCCCTCCCTTGTTTTAATGATACAGCCTAAGAATCTGGGTTTCTGGGTACCAAGAGAGACCATTCTCCATGGGTCCTGGGCACCCTGACCGTTTCTGTTGAAGGCGCCAGTGATGCAAGGTCGTGCTGGCTCTTTACCCAGGCCATTTCTCAGAGTTGCATTTGCAGCAAGCAGCTTGGGCGATAAGGTAACATCTTCCTGGGCCAAACAGTAGGCCTTCTCCACTTGCTGTAAAAGCAACAGATCCTCCGAGCTCAGTGTGGCAGACATTCCCTGGGTGCGCAGTATCCACCTGGAGCCCTTGCTGATGCCTGCGTGGAACTTGGGTGCATGGGGACCCAAGTCAACACAAAGATCTTAATGCTTGCTGGGCCATGAGGAATACAGCCCTTTGTCTTTGGCCCAGGAGTTTCGTGTCTTCCACCAGCATCCATGAAACAGGAACCGGCTAACCTGGCAGTTTATAAGGAGAGTAAGACCTTAGACCCGATTACTGACACTGAGCGTACCAAGTCAGCTTGGGAGTTTATCGGGGCAGCATCATACGGCAATGCAGGGACGAACTGGAGGCGAGCGAGATGCCAAGAGTACACATTTAAGGCGGCTTTCATGCAGGCTCATGGGAGTGGCGGGTGTCAGTCCTGCACTTACGCAACCCAGACGGCAAGTGCTACCTTAAATTTCGGTACTCAGTTTTCTGCTTGCCTGCTTTAGTCCCAGTCCTGTAGAAAAACGCAAATTACCACAATGAAATCACTTCCTCAGCAAAACCAAGTGCGACCCTTAGCTATGTTTATGAAGCAGTCTTTGCATATGTACACACAGCTACAGATACGATTGGATCATGTACCATCACAAGAAAAATGGACAAACGCACTTCATCATACTTAGAGGAAGGAATTAATATGGATGACCTACCGGATACGGTCAAATTTCAAAATGCTGAATGAAATACTCAAGTTTCTTAAGGACTCCTGTGGCAAATTATCATTTATCTAACATCCTCATTATTGAAAGTTTGAAAACATGCCCACATATATTGTTTACATATAAAAACACAAATGAAAGTGTAAAAACAAGCCCATGCCTGTAATGCCAACCTTCTGGGAGGCTGAGGCAGGAAGATCGCAAGTTCAAGCCCAGGCTGGGTAATTTAGTAAATTAGGGAGACATTGTACGAAAATATAAAATAAAATAAAAAAAGGGCTGGTGCTGTAGCTTACTGTGAAGGCTCTGGGTTCAATACTCAGTCCAAAACAAGCATAAAAAACAAGCATGGCAATGATTAATAAATACCAACTATATGACTGTTTACCCCCAGGAAGCAGGGTAGATAAATAGAGTGGATATGGACATGAGGCATGAATTGTATCTGTGGGGCTTTGTTAAAGAATGGGCCAAAGGCAACAGGGTTAAGTAAGTTATCAGATTTTGATAAAAGTTGCTGGTGTGTATAAGGGGATTATTACATTATTCCCTATTGTTTTGTATATGCTTGGAGTATTTCATTTTTAAAAGTTGAGATTAAAGGCAAAAGATTTTTAAAAGTTTTGTTTTTGCTTTTAAGGAAGCAAGGCAGGATCTTAACCGTTACTGTAACCGCTAAGTTGAACCGTCTGCACTAGTGGGACTTTTCTGAGCTGATTCGCTGCCTTAGTTACTGAAGGAGCTGACTCGCTCACGCAGGCACGTGGGGGGGGAGGTGGTGGCCAGGTCCAGTGGTGGTCACTGTGGAGGAGAGGACAGCGCTGGGTACTGGGTACAGGAGACGCCCAGGTGTGGAGGAGGACGCTCCTCACCCACCCTCTCTCTGCAGGGACGGCCATGGACACAGAGCACCACGCCCTTGGGTTCTGCTCATACGCTTGCTATAAAATGCATTCTCCAAATGCTAGTGTGCAGGGTTTTTTTTTTTTATAGAATGGAGTACTACTCAGCCATAAACACAAAATTGAGACATTTATTGCTAAATGGATAGACCATGAGACCATAATCATAAGCGAAAGAAATCACACACACTTGTGTAAATATCCCATTGTCTCTCTGGTGTGAGAAACTGAAAGTGCAAATGAGAACCTACATGCACAATAGATATTGTGAAATAGGAAGAAACGGTTCAAAAGGAAAAGGGAAATAGGGAGGGGGAGGGGAAAGGAAGGAAGGGAAAGAAAAAATGAGAAAAGAAGGGTAAAATGAAAACCAAGCTTTGTGAAGGGGGAGGGGAAGCGGGTTTGAAAAGAGGGGATGGAAATGGGGGAAAAAAAGAATCAAGATATATCATGTACTGATGCAAATTCCCTATAGTGACTATGATCATTATGTATACCGAAACTGTACCTATAAACTTAAAATGAACAAACAAAAAAAAAACACATGCAAATAAAGCTGGGTGTGGTGGCATATATAAATAATCCTAGCACTTAGGAGGCTGAGGCAGGAGAATCGCTGAGTTTAAGACCAGCCTGGATCGGCTAGTGAGACCCTGTCTCAAAACCTACCAACCAAACAAACAAATACACTGAAAACAGAAACAAACCATTTAGAAGCCAGAGTACAAGGTCTATGATGGGGACCTGTAAAGACTATTTTCACCGACTTACGCTTTTTAAATTTGAATATTTTGACCTGAAATGTTCTATCTGCAATGAGAGTTTGGAGCCGACCCCTGTTCTGTCCTCCCGTGGGGACAGAAGAGCTGGGAGGGCAGCTGCAGGGCATTTTATCCCATCTGGGGCTCAGCCCCGGGCTGAGAGGCCAGGCAGTCTGTGTGGAGGGGTTTGTCTCCACGGTAATGATGTCTGTGCTGTCTGTCCCGGGGTCCCTGCCCTCCAACAGCCCAAGCTCCCGTAGCATTTGGCTGGGTCTTTTTCATGAGGGCTCTTCTAGGGACCTTTCCTTCCTTCAAGTCTAATTTTCCTTAAATCTGGGAAAAGAGACCAGACAACAAGATTGTTTGGAAGTTCATCAAAATTCAGAGGCAGCAAAAAATGTTACCTAAAAGGGAAAATAACCCCTTGTCAACCTAAATTTATAAAAAAAATTACAGTGGCCTGTTAAACCCAACCTCGCCCTCTTTTCTTCCCTGGTCTACCAGTGGGTTGAAGGCCCTGCTTCCGGCGTGTGCGATCGTTCAGGAGATCTCGGCCCGCCGTCTAGGGTCGCCACCGCAACACTCCGCCCTCCCTCTGGCGGCGCTCCACACGGCACGTGTACTAGCTCATTTCACAATCAGGTCGTGGCGTGGCAGTTGGGGAGCTGGCGATTCTTCCCCACGAGCTTGTTGGAGAGATCAGGACGTCACACAGTTGTGTAGCGACAGTGAGACGGGGAGACAGGCAGGGAATGCGGGGCATGAAGTGGCTGACGGGTGCGGCTGCAGGCAAAACCACCCGCTTCCTGGAAGCGGCCCCTTGGGAGACCTCTGCAGGTGTAGAACAGTAATTTTTGTGGACCCGCTTGCATCCATTGGAAAGTCCCTAAGCCCCAACGCGCACCACAGCAACAGCTCGTCCCAGCAACAAAGGCTAGGACCCTGACTGGCCTGGAACGCCCCAATCGCTGAAACTCCATAACCCTTAACCGAAAGCTAAGACCCTGACTGGTTTAGAACCCTACAGGCACGGCTGGGGCAAGGACGCCGCGCGAAGTTGACTTGCACTCCTGCCTGCCCCGCCGCTTGTCGCACGGCAGCTTTGTCCTGCACTCATGATCTTGTGAATACACCTCTACTTTCCTTCTTCATCGTTTTGCGCAGACTCTCCATTTTTCGCTTGGGGGATCTCTGGCTTGGAGTCAGACTCGCCCCACTCTTGCATTCCTCGCCAGGGTGAGGGCAAGAGCCCAAGGAACGGGGTCGCCCCACGGAGACCCCCACGGCTCTGTCAGTCCCCTGGAAATAAACTCCCCGTTCCTCAAAGTGCGGAAAGCCAGGGCACACGCAGGGCTGCCCCCGGGCCTCCACGGGGTGTCCTGGAGGAAGCCGCGCACCCTCACAGCGGGGCCCTCGGTGCTGTGCCCACAGACGCAGCGGCCGTGGACCCGCATCGTGCCAGACACGCTGTCACAGGAGGCTTCTCTCAGCCCCCGCCCCACTCCTAGCTGCCTGTTGGTCACAGCGCCAACGCCGACCATCTCCCGCTCCTTGCTTACCTAGCTTTTCAAGTTTTACAAGCTGCAGAGATTCAGAGAACATTCACAATCCTTTCCTGTTCTCATTTCAGGGAGGCACACTGGAGCCCTCAGTAAAATGAGGGCGAGGCTGGGGGGCGGTTAGGAGCCCAGGGGAAACAGGGAGTTAGAAAGGCAGGAGAAGCTGGAAGAAGACGCTTGTTCTCCTTGGGCTTTCACAAAATGCTCTACACGGCCCACATTCAAAGAAAGCAGAGATGTGGCTGTGAGGGAAGGTAGTACGAGCTCCCCAGCAAGTCTGACGGGATTATGCCTAGTAATTGTTTAGCAGCTGTGCATAAAAACACACAATTGGCTGGGGATGTAGCTCAGTGGTACACATTGGCCTGGCGTGTGTGAGACCCTGGGCTCCATAAGCAGCACCGCACCACCACCAGCTGCTCTTCTGTCACTCAGCCTTTTAAGCCAGCCCTCCAAATGGAAACGGCCTGCAGTAGTAAGACACAGTCGTTCAGAGTGCAAGGTTGTCACTAGGGGGGGCCGGCTTACAGTGTTAGATGCTACTGAGGGCCTTCAGCTTGTGTACGGGGTTTTGCATTCAACACACCTTCGGTGAAGTTTTTTTCAGTGAGAGAATGAACATGAAATTACGGTTCACTGCTATCAAGTCTCTATTCCATAAGAAACAAAGGAACAAAAACAGAACAAGACAGGCCACCTTGAAGTCACAAATTATGAATTTGCTCATTAACCCAATGATAGAATCCACAAGAATTGCTGGCCAGAGGAGCTAAAGGCCCCAGGTGGCCTGTTTCCACGGTTGAACGACACCTGCCCCAACACCAAGCTGGCACTGAGGTTTGCTGACCTCCGCACAGAGGCTGGTCTGCGCTCAGCACGGGAACAGCAAGGAGGGCCAGTTGCTCATTTGGCTGAATAACGCACCAGTCCTGACGGGCTGAGAATGTCTCCCCGCACCTTCTGCATGGGGCCACATTCACTGGCGTGGCCACTGCAAAAACAGCTGCCCCAAACAACCACCTCGTACAGAGCATAGCAGTATTTATCGAGGCGGTTGCCTTGCCCGCTTCCAAGTAGGGTATCCCCAAGGGCATGGAGTTTGGAAAAGTTTATCCTCAGATTTGTTAATGGCACAAGGTCTGAAGAAAGGCAAATAAAACAGTGAGTCAAAGAGCATTTCAGAGGCATTGGCTCAAGGTGCCCTCCTTGACGGACGTGCCCTTCGCACACTATCGAGATGCAATGACAGGGAACACTCCTACCAGGAAAAAAGAAAGGGATATGAAAATTAAAAAACAATTCTTACCCTGGAGGTAGGGGCTGTAAGGGCTTTCTATTTCAAAGCTGGGATCCAAAACTTTTAAAACCACCTGTAAGGCAAATGTAGGTAAATTTATACAGTGTTATCCTGAAACATGATTGTCTAGTATTCTCTTGAAGAACAGATCCTGACCTTGACAGGAAGGCTGAGCCAGTGCCTCCCAGCTGGCGTAGGATGGGGGCTATCATGTGGGTTACAATATGAACGAAAGCGCCAAGAACAAAGACGAGTGCCGAGGACGCATCCATCATTCCCGGCCCCTTCTGCACGGGCGTCTGTACACGCAGAAGTGTTGGTACCACTGGTAAAGCTGGAGCAAGGCGAAGTCATGGTCAGTGTGGCAAGCCACTGTCCACTTGGACCCGGCAGGGGATTCTAGAGCTGCCTTCTTCCACCAGCTCTTTCTGCTCTACCTGGTCAAACAGTGCCCTTAACCCCGCCACCTCCCTGCTCCTCCACAGGCCCCAGGTTTGCACAGAGGAGATTCCTGGAGAGTCCACCGGCGGTGGTTTGCAGAACATGGGTTGAGACAGCTGAACCAGTTGTGCGGCTAGGCGGCATGGCTCCTTTGCAAGGGTTAGAAGCAGGCGCTCCTTCCTCCGGGTGGCCCAGGCCTTGGGGTCCAGTTCGGTTCTAGCCCCATTCTCCTTCGGCTGGGCTGATAACACATTCTCTTTTTGATAATGTATTATGTACTATTCAGGGCTCATTTCAATTTGGACATGTTCATTTTTAAAAAATCATCAATTTAAGTTACAGTTCAGTAAATATTACCTAACTTCTTTTTAAAATTTAAGTAGATCATACTTTAAAAACAGTTTCATTTATATGAAAGAAATCTAAGGAAGGAAGTGCTGCCTCGCCACCAGTGAAGGCCTGATATCTAAATACCTGGAGTCACAAACAGGGTCTCCTACTTCCTGGGCCTGGTCAGGTGTGCTGTCAGGAAAGAAGGCCCTGCAGTGTTTTGCAAAGTATTTGAGTGCTTTTCAGGCGTGTCTGTAGTTTGTGGAATGTGCCACTATCATTGCAGCAGGTTGAAAAGTCTATGAAAATAATGAGTAAAACTTGTAATGGCCCACAAAACCAAATTTTACCATCCGTTTCAGACTGAATGGTTTCATTTTATAATTCTATTTTTAAATTTTCTGTATATCCTTTAAAATCACTGCTGGATAAGGTGGCATACATCTGTAATCCCAGCACTCAGGAGGCTGAAGCAGGGGGATTGCTGTGTACAGAGTGAGTTAAGTCCAGCCTGAATTGTATAGTAAAACCCTGTCTCAAGAAAAAAAATCAGTGTATATCACTGTACAATAAGCACAGCTAGCTCTCACTCCAATAAATGGGCAAGAATTTACAAGTACATACTTTGTCCTCAAAATCTAATTACATTTTTGAAAATATTATGGCTGTGTGATTTATTAATTGAAGAAAGGTAGCATATAAATAGAAAAGCTAATGTAATTAATACTTTGTACCACTTTGCTTGTTTCTCTTTGCCTAGAATGCTTTTCCTTAGGCAAATTCTTCTATATCCTTCATGACCTACTCACCAAGTTTATCCTTATTCCCCAGAGCAGATGTATCCTCTTCAATTAAGTTTCCCAGCATTCCAATCATACCTCTATTTCTGAACTTTTCACTTTGTATTACAGTTTTCTGCTTTTGTGTTTGCATCCATGAAATTCTTCTGGCATTCTTTTTCAGTTTTTAAAAAATTATTTTAAATTTCGTATGTTTTTTTATTGCCAGAACTGGTAGCAGGTCTGCCATCAATGCAGAATTATGGTGAGTGATGATGAAAGACTGTAGCACAATGACTTGATCTCTCAAGAGTAACTGTCATAAAGGCTAATGTTTCCTTTGCCTTTTGATCACTATCTTTCCATATTTCCTTTTTTTTTTTTTTCTGGTACTGGGAATTGAACTCACGACCTCGTGCTTGCCAGGCAGGTGCTGTGCCACTGAGCTAAATCCCCAGCCCCCTATATTTCCTTAAATAATTTCCTTTTTTCCCTGAAAACTGTCTTTCTGGTTCCAGTGGTCCCTATCTCCCCAGGACTCTGTATTTGTCTTTATTCTGTCTTCTAAGTTTTTAGAAAAATATTAATCATGTAGTCATTGATCACCAAGCAATGTTTTCATTAAAAATTTATTCAGGAAAAAACCTAGGTGACAAAACTTGAATGTACACATATCCTGGTTTCTGTTCTCTGTAAGGAAGCCAGGGAGGGGAATCCCAGGTTAACACAGTACATTTTGTGGGGTATACAGGGGATGGGGGCTTGTACCTCTCTGTACCTTAAAGGTCAGTTTAAGGTGGATGAACTGAAATAACCTCTAGGTCCGGTCTGATGCTCACACAATCAACACCTGGAGAAAATTCCAGAAGGAAGACAACCGCTGGTTTTGAGAGCGCCCAGTTCCGCATGTTGCCTCCTGCTATAGTTTGTCCATATAGAAACCGCATGGCTTGTGCCGAACCCTTTCCCAGTCTGGGCTGCTCCTGTCCGGATCTGGCCTGTCTATCCACATCTACACGCCGGCGGCGGTACAGGCCGCCACTGTGTGGCAGCACTGCATGCCACCAAGGGAGTTCCAGGCCGTTTCCTGCGGGGGAAAGAGAGGCTTAGTTCCTTGTGCCCACATCCTGACTGCGCCTGCGCAGGAGCCCGCAAGCCGGAGCACAACGAAAATAAACACACCTTTTTCTCCCAAAGACTAACAGTCACTGGAGCTAGAATTTTGTCTCTTGATGTAAGATACAGCTTGGAGTGTTCCCCGCCGGAGAGCGGCTCTATGAGCTCCTCTGGGACTGAGGAGGTGACCCTGCACTGAGCTAGTTAGCTGTGATCCATCTCTAGCACCGACTGGGAGTGTCACCCCAGCCTGGCCCCGAGGAACCCAGAGCTCTGGAGTCGCCACTGAGCAGCAGAGCTGGAATAGGCGTCACGGCTGCCGTCTGAAGTTGTCTGGCAGCTGTGTTTAAAAGATAAAAGGAATGGGTAAAATTATTTTTAACAATATGCTTAAAGCAAAATATAAAACACGTTATTATTTTCAATACTTTCGGATAATTCTTTTTCCTGGACTCTGTCTGGGAAACGCAGGATGGCTGCACGCTGACAGCACATCTCGGTGTGAACTGGCGCAGTCTGGTTTCAAGTGCTCAGAAACCACACGTGCTTCGGGCAAAGGGACTCCGGATTGCTGGGCACAGAGGTTCAGCTGAGAGTTCTGGGGCAAAGACTGGGAGTCGTGCGCTGCTGAGAGGGCAGCCGCCTGCCAGGCTTTACACCAACCCTGTCTAGAGGAGATCTTCCCCTCCGTGTAGTCCTTGTTGTCATCCCTGCTTCTGCACACTGGGCCGTGATGGAGGAGGGGGGGATCAATGCTGGATGTGGGTGCAAGTCCGAACGGCTGGTGAGCAAAAAGGGCACCGCTCATCAACGAAGGCAAGGTTGTGGCAAATCCCTCCCATTCACGGAGGAGCTTCCAACTCGAGATAATACCCAGGCTCCCTGATGAAATGGCATTTAGCAGACAGTCGTGCACGTGAGTGGATGGCAAAGAAAACGGCCCTGTATTACGCCTGCCCTGAACTATTTGTATATTATGGTTATGCTCACTCTAAAGGTTTAGGGCCCCCTAACAAAAATCTATTTAGAGATCTGGAGAAAACAGAAATTAGAGCCCAAAGAACAAAAAAGAGGTTGCTGAATGGAATAATTTCGTAGCCAAGGAAAAGGAAAAGAGTCCCAGATCGCTGTTGATGGAGGGCCATCGTGAGTGAGGACGCCTCCTCATGTTTGGCATGAAAGGCCCAGGCCAGGGATGGGACAAGAGGAATCCCTCTTTGGGTCCACACACATATAGATGGTTGTGGCCAGTGTGGGGCCCAGATCACCACTGTTCACAAAGAGAGAAGGACACACAATCAGGAAGGAGAGAACTTCAGCCAGTAGCCAATCATCCTTTCAGTTCAAATCTTATATTAAAGCCTTTGGCTTGCAGCAAGAACCAAAATGTCCTTTTTCTCTCTCTCCCTTCCTGCACTGAGAAGGAAAAAGTACGTGGTGCTGATTCGCACACTTCCTTTGGCATTAGTTACTTGCTTACATCAGTGTGTTTTGTGTTAGGTTAACTCTCTAACACTTCACAATGTTTAAAAACAATTTCTGAAGAACAAAAAGGCACAGAGACATTTTCTTCACTCACATGGAAAAGATAAAACATTCTGAGCTGTGTGCTGAACGTACACTTTAACTTCTCTAAAGGGAAATAATCTTTCTTAAAAATGAAAATAAATTGTTAGACGAAACTCCACATTCTTGGTGGGTAACATCTTGCTGTAACATTGTTAAAGTAATGCAAGGAAAAAGGCACCATATTAAAATAGGAAGAAATGAATAATTGAAAAAAACTTAAGCATACCATTTTCAGATTGCAGCCATTTCTTTTCTTTGTCTGCTTCAAAACCTGTAAGTACATTCTCAGTGGTGTGGCTGTTGGGTTGGGCACACGGTTTGTACCGAAATCTGGAGTCACAGATGAAGCATTTTTGCTCTCCTTGGAAAATACCATCACTAAAATTAAAAATAAAGAACTATAGCTACTTGTTGATCTGAATTTAAAAACAAGCTGTGTTCACTATATTTATCTTTCAATCTGGCCAAAAATAAAAAGCAGAGGAAATAACAAGACATCACATTTTCCATTAGTAGGTATTTAAAAGCAATAACAAATTGAATTAAAATATAACCTAGATGTTTTACAAATTTATACATTTGGGGGAAAATGCAAATTTATATTGAAATAATTTTTCTCACAGAAAGACAGATATTCTCAAAGTTACACTGTAGAGAAATTGTTAGGGTGTACTTTCTGAACTGAAATTACTTCCTTTAAAAAATGGAATATTTGGCAAGACATTAATGAAGCAGTTGTGTATTAGGTTATTTGGAGCCATCCCATTTTCTCCCAGATTTTATAGCTTTCAGTAGAAAACTTCCTGTGGCCAAAATCATCTCATACTTGGGGACTTAGGGAAAAGATTTCCATTAAACTCACAGTGCAGAGCCCCACCCTCCTGTTTCTTAGACCAGGAGATCGTGTGAGTGAATTGGAGCTGGTTTGCTTAGGATGGATTTTCAAAGGTGAACTCGTTAAATTAATGTGAACACTTTCAGCTACAGGGAAACTGCAGGGACTCTGCAACAGGCCCACAAGGCTGTCAGTGGCTTATGCGGTGACCTGGCCAACACCTGGGGCACTCTGAAGGTTTCTGGCAAAGGTACCAGGAAGGAGGGACTGTTTGTTACAATCTTCTGTGCCAGAAATTGCCTACAACAGCACAGGTCCTTGGCAGTACTCAGGGGAGGTTGTTCAATTCTATGTCTTCACTGTGGCTTCCAGGCCCTACAAGGGGTGACCAGAGCCACTTCTCTGCCTTTACGTCTGCTCTGCTCCAGGTACACTGACATCTTGCGGCTTCTCCAGCACCCAAGAATCCTTCTGCCGGGAGTCCTGGAACAAGCTACTCTCCCTCCCAAATAGTCGTGTCTCTTGTTCCTTCCCTTCTTTCAGATCCCTATTTAAATGCCAACCTCTCAAAGAGACTTTCCTTGATGCTATCTAAAATGCCGTCAGCCCCATATCCCATGGCCTTTTTGCTCTTCTCTATCCCTTTCTCTGTTTGATATATTTTCTAATTTCTTATTGCTACTTGAGGCTATATTATATAGTTGTTTGTTTATTGTCTATCTCTGGTCACTGGAATTCAAGCTGAACAAGGACAAAGACTTTATTTATTTATATTTCCCTGTCACCTAGAATAGTGTCTGGCACTTAGCAGCTGCTCAATAAAATATGTCAAGTGCATGATGATTATAATGATTATTTCAGTTGAAGTCTGTCAAAGTAAGCCAACCCTTCAAGTCATCCACACCAGCAGTGCATTTTAGAATCACTGGCCAATATAGCCTTATTGTTGAAGAAAATCAAAATTCCCTTTGAAAACTGAGACAATGGATACTGGATCAATTCTACATATGAATGGGTTTGTCCCAGACCTGCTCTAGGAGAGCAATAAAAGCATCATGACTTCCTCAAAAGATGTCAAGTCTTCAAATACTGCCATTTATCTTAGGGTTCTTTTGCTCAATTCAGGTGGAAATCATGAATTGGCAGAGTGAAGCTCTGCTAGCAGTCCTGATGTCACCAGAGAACACCAGGATATGCTGGTCTCTGCTGCTGCCGTCTGCCACCTGTTGGTGCCAGCTTGTGCTAGATGCTGGAGGTCAACTGTACTGGGTGCTGCTCTCTGCTGCTGGTCTTAGTTGGCTGCTGGTCTCTGGAGCGCTGAGTGTTTATTGCTCTTTCTTTGGAAATGACTGCTCTACCCACATTACTCAGGACAAAAATCCCAAGTAGACTTATAGGACCTTTGGAGCCTACCTACCCAAGAAATAAATCACAAGCAGGTTTATAGGGACACCGGGGTGAGTCTCTACTTTAACAGAGTCTGTGCTGTAGCACAGGGATACCAATACACAGGATGCAGCCCTCCTAGACTAAACCCTGAGGAGTGGCTGGGGAATGCCGCTTACATAGCAGCTGCAGGTCTGTCAGTGAGGGGCAGGGCTGAAAGCTTGCTATAAATGTTGGGTTTGCAAATAAGGGGCCCAGATCTCTCCCTTCTTGATCTTAAGCATTCCAAGATGCCCCCTCCTTCCTTCAAAAGGCAGCAGTACTGTCTGAAGTGGTGGGTGTGGGTAGGGTGTCACGCTGCCTGTCTGGCTACACTCATGTTGGAGTGGAGAATGCTGGTTTGATCACGAGGGAGGACATTGATTTTTTTTTTTTTTTTTTTTTGGTACCAGAAATTGAATAGGGAGGACATTGAAGCAAAGTGTCCCAGTCCACTGCAGAGGAAGGGGGAGCGAAGGAAGTGAAGGGGAGGGGTGGACTGGCTGCCACCCAAGCCAAACTCCTTTCCAGCTGGCATGGGAGAAGATGAGTAAGGTTCTTGTCTGTCTCAACAGTGTTTCCAATCATACTATGAAAATTACTAGGGAATTCAACTTCAAGTCTGAGAGGGTGTTTTTCTCTTCACATTTTAGAAGGATGTTCTTTAGTGCTGTGGTTCTCAGTGATGCTTAGCTGTGGCCACTTATGTGAGAGTCTCAACTTAGGTATTTCAGTAGGTCCATGTTGGTTTGAAGCTTTGAAGAAAATCTTCTGCTTGACATTTCTTTCTTAGACAAGATCATTCTCTTGCTGTGTGAATTTTTGTCTAGACTTGTGGTTGTATCCTTACCTGCCATACTTGTTAGCCTAAAATATTTTGAAGATTTTTCCCCAACTCAAAGCTTTCTAAGATTTCTGTCATTCACTAGACAAAAGAAGCTTTTACTTTGATTTCTAATTTCTTTTATTTTTGGGAATTGTAGCAGATTGACAACTGGTGGTCAACTTGTAACCCCCAGCTGAACTGAGTAAGTGTGGTGCTGGGTGTGCGAGGCCCACCTGGGGACTGTTGCCTGCAGCATAAGAGCAGCACTGGAGAAAAAGAAGAGAGCCTATTGGGAGCTACTAGAAGCTGTAAGGAGCTGTTGATTCTTTTGGAGGAGCTTGTCATGCTGGCTTTCCTAAAGAACTCAGCTGTTTTCATCCTTTGAGGAGCTTGGGAGCTTGTTGGCACTGAGGATAGCTTTGGTTCACTTTGGGGGCACTCTGGTCCTCACCTCGACCATTGCTTCCTGGCTCTGGAAGGGAAGATGGTGCACTGCCAGCCTCCTGGGGAAGCTTGCTGCATTGGCTTTCCCAGAGACTCAGCTGTCTTCACCACTGGAGGAGCTCGGGACCTCACTGTTGCTGAGGATGGCTGTGGTACTTTTCAGGGGAGCTCTGGTTCTTTGAGCATTGCTTCCTGGCTCCAGTGTAGATCCCTCAGCCTGCTAGCACAGATCTTTCATCCTGCTGGCACAGATTTCCGAGTTTCCACCACTGACCCTTGGGCCTTCCCAGTGTAGATCCGTGAAACAGGCCTGCATGAGACATTGTCATGGGCCCTGGGCTTCCAGTTGGATTTGTGGCAGGCATTGTTGTGGGCTCTAGGCCTTCAGCTGGACTCATGCAGGACATTATCATGGGATCCAGGCCCTCAGCTGGATTCCTGGTCTATAGTGTGTGGACAGATTTCTGGCACTCTTTTGTATATCATTCTTTGGGTGACTATTATAAATAATCTTATAAAATATATGTCTTGTATTATATTGTTTTACTTTACAAAATAAGCCCCAAACCAACACAGTAATGCAACTTTGTGATAAAGGCACATCAATTTCTAATCATAGTATTGGCTCATGATAGCAGTACGGAAATGCCACAGGTTAATGAATAAGATGGGTCATGCAGTTAGGAAGTTTCTAATGTTAGCTCTGAGAAGCACTTCTTTGTCCGGAGCACTTGGTTTTTGTAAAGTCACTGGAAGAGCTGTCCATCCCATCTGGCCTGGAGTGAGCAAAACTTCCACCGTGTAATTTCCTGACACATGTAGAGCCTTTGCTTTCTTACATAAGTATTTCCCAAACTTAGAACAGTGCTAAGCACCCAAGTATTGTCTTCACTTATTTATAATCGTGATATTTTACTAGAAACCGATTAGAATGCAAAGCATTTCCCTGAGACCTAAACAAGTTGCCTTAAATAAACAATACATGGAAAAGTCTGGGCCACTAACATTAGGCTTATGTCCAACTTCCTTCTTGCGTATCCTCTCATTTAAGGGGTGGACATGGTGGCCTCGATGTTTCCAGCAGGTATGATACTGAGCTGACCTTGGATGCTTATTCTGCTGCCAGAACACAGGAAAGAAAAGCCCTAAAAAGCCACTTGCCCTTAATAAATGGTCTCATAGGGAAAAGGGACAAAAATACATTCAAATTGAGAATTTCTGGTTTTTGAGATGCTACAACTTCCAAGTAGTCTGAGTTTGATGTACGGTGAGTTCAAAGTTTTACATTTTTCTCTATGTAAGAGCAGTGGGGCCGCACGTTTGGCATGATGGCACGGGACCTGAAGGACCTTCCCTGAACGAGTCAATTTTGTTTGCTCTATGGGAGGTACTATGGCTGCTAAGTAGAGCAGTGGACTTTTAGTAATTCTCGTCAAAGACTGAACCCAAAAGTCTTTTCTGGATCATTCTAAAAGTAAAAGAAGTACAAATTAAGTGTTTTCTGATTGGTCAAGTTTCCTATTCTTTGAATTATTTTGTATATGTCACTTCAGGCGGGAGCACTGTCTCCTTCAGTGACCTCAGGTATACAGGAACAATCTACATTCCTGATTAAATAATGTCACAGTGAGGAAATTGAGAACCAACCCACCGCCAGGCAGCTGAGGACGCAGGACTTCTGGGCTTTGTTCTGCCTGCAGGTAGAAGACAGTGTCAGCTGGGAAATGCGGCCCACAAGGAGATTGCCAGGGGCAGGACAACGGGTACCATTGTCTCATAGAGCTTTTAAGTAACTGAGCCACCCTGAACACAGTAGAATCAGCTACACAGAAAGCAGTCTGAGGGTAGCACAAGGCCTGGAGAAGCAAGCTGCTTAAGCTGAATACTCAGGGATAGGCTGACTCTAGCTGGGACCATGGCCCAGGTCCTTCACCTTAACCTCTTGCTCCTAAGAGCACTCTGACTAAGTCACTTGCACACAAATCCCTGCATCAGTTCTGTTGGAGGCAACCTGGCCCAAGACAGACTGGGAATTTTTTATGTATAATTTTAGGATAAATAATGACTAATGTATGGACATGAGGACAGAGAATACAAATCCTACTTCTTATATCTGTGGTTCCAATCTGTACAAAATAGGAGAATTGAAGACTCCTTGGGGAGTAGCCTTCTCTTACAATGTATAAATTCGGGTTGAATCATTTGAAAATCTGGATTGTTGGGTTCAGCCTCACTATGGGACAAATCATGTTCCTCTGAGAGACAGAGTTCTCCTACGAACGGCCAACAGCCCATACATCATTTACTGTCCAGTGGATCTGCTATGAAGGGATTTGGTCACACATGAGATAACGTCATCAGGGGAGCAACCTTATCTCAACAGCCACATCAGCCTCTACTTTGCTATCCGTGTATAGCTTCTGAGATAATATCTATAAGTCACTGTTGTAAAGAAATTTTATTTGTTTTAAGTGTTAAATTCTTGAGAAAGGGTAAATCTCTTGGAAAATTGTAAGTGTATTAAAATTTTAGCATACTAAGCTACTATTAAAGAGTAATAGCAATAGTAGTAAGTAATACAAAACATAAAATGTCCTAGATATTAGATAGCAAAAGGGTGAAGAAGAACTTAAGTGACTTAGAAGACAGCTGCCATTAATTGCAAGAAATTTCAACCACAGGCTAGAAACATTTTAACCTCCTTTTTTTATATAATGGCAAGAAGAATCAGAAGCTCTAAGAAGAGGATCTGGACATGTTGTGAGTTGTAAATTCAAGCAAAGGAGTCTTTTACTAGAGACAGGAAGAAAACATTACTAATAAACCCTTTGTTATCAAGTCACCTAGAAAAATATAGCCATAGTTCTTCTAACTGCATATTACCTAGGAAGTCTTTGACTCTGAGAAAAAAATTTACATTGAATAAGAAAAATATAGCTTCACTCAGGTTTGAAATAAAACCAGGGTTAGATCATGGAGTGGCCTACAATGCAGAGGTTGGTAAATAGGTATAGGTAGTCCTATATTTGGACATTTATATGTTTAAGATTGGACAAAGATGCATTGAATTTTTAGTTTATTAACATGTGATGAATGGTCCTATCTCTGCTTGCTGGGTGGCTTTTGGTGTGATGACTCCTGATTTTTAGTTTATTCAAATTATAGATTTGGACTAAAGATAAGTGCTTCTAAAATGTATTGAACTGATCAGCAGGATTCTTCATTGAAAAAGGATGCTATAGGGGCTGGGGGTTTAGCTCAGCGGCACAGCGCCTGCCTGGCAAGCGCAAGGTTGTGAGTTTGATTCCTGGTACCGGAAAAAACCAACAAACCAACGAAAAAGGATGCTAAAGACAAAAAAATTGAGAGCTACTGCATCCTAGCTCTCTGTCCTGAATATTCCCAGTGAACACCAGTGCATTAGGGCTCCTGAAAAATCCTTCTGTAAACACAAAATGCAAGCCAAATCTCTTTAAAGTTGATTTTGTAGCATTCTTGAATTTATTTCATGGAGGGCATTTTTTATTCAACAACTCAGATTATTATTGCATGCAACACCAGGAAGATATTTTGTGAAATACTAAACATAATCTTATTTAATCTAAATCTTCTAGCCAACCCCCACCCCCACCTCCAAAAAAATTCAGAAAGTGGTGGCTTGCTATGTCTTACTTGGAGACTATGTAAAGATCAATTTTGGGAATAAAGGTGTAAATCAAATGTAATCAAAATTACTCTGGAAAAGTTCATAAATTACCTACATAGTACAGCAGATATGAGTTTGTGTGTCCAAAACCTAGTATTTGAGAACCATGAAGTTAGGACAGGTAACAAAGGAAAACCAATGTACACATGAACATTTGAATCATTCTAAGTAAAGATAATTGTTAAATTTCCTTATGTATAAGTGGGGGATCAGGGTAACCTGGAAGGCTTTCTCCATTATGTTATATACTGCATTTTTTTGTAAGCAATAACAGTAGATTTGTTTATTGCTGGAAAGGTTAAATAAAACAAAGTAGAATGTTACTGAAGCTAAACTCCAAAGTTTATACACTTAAAGTGAGTGCACAAATGAGAGCCTGCTGTGATATTCTGCAGATAGATATTTATAGAAATAATTGTATTTCTTCTTTTAAAAAGTATACTTAACAAGACAATATAATATCACTGCTAATTCAATTGAACGATTAGAATCCTACTTGATTCTAAAATTTAAGCACTGTTTTTCTCTTGATTCCAGTTCCAATTATACTCATGGTGATTTTGCAGAAATAAAATGACATTCAAATAAAGGGCATAGGATCTAATAACTAAAAAAGTTTTAAAAAGAGCAAGGGAAAGAATCACTGATCTGGCATTATGACTTGCTATATAGCTACAATAAACACAAAAGTGTGATATTAGCAGAAGAACAGATATGTTCTGCTGAATGAATCAGAATATAGAACCCCAAATTATAGCCAAACAAATCTGGCCAATAGATTTTTGAGGTTCAAAAGCAATTCAATGGGGAAAGACAGCCTTTTCCATAAATGCAAGAGTAATTGGACATCCACAAGCAAAAGCATGAACTGCAATCACAGATTTATGCCTTATGCCTTACTAAATATTAACTCAGAATGGATCTTAGACACTGTAAGACACAGGAGAAAATCTTTGGGTCTTAGGACTAGGCACAGGAGTTTTAGAACTGATGCCAAAAGCATCATCTAGAAAGGAGACAACTGGACATTTTCAAAACTAAGGAAGCTTTGCTCTGAGAACAACCTTCTGAGACGATGAAAAGCAGAGCCGCAGACTTGGAGAACAAAACCATAAACCACACATTCGATAAAGCTGTTGTGTCTCCAATATTTAAAGAGCTCTCAGAAGTCAACCTGAGAACCCAATCAAAAGGAGAAAATGGCAAACAACAAGGACAGACATTTCACTAAAGAAGATATACCAAAGGTGAATAAGGACATGAAAAGAAATTCAATGTCGTTAGCCACTAGGGAAACCCAAACAGCAATGAGATATCACTAGACGTCTAGCAGAGTGACTAAGATAAAAAACAGTGATAACTCCAGATGTCTGAGAGGTGTGGAAAAACTGGATCCCTTATGAACAGCTGGTGGGAACGTAAAGCGTTATGGTACTCTGAGAAAAGTATGGTACTATAGTTTTTATTTTATTTTAATTTACTTTATTTTATTTTACAAAACTAAGCTTACATAACTTAGCAATTATATTCTTAAGTTATTTATATCAAAGTAATCATAACTTATGTTCACACAAAAACTTGTATACAACCATCAAAATGCTGGGAATTACTTAGATGTTCCTCAGTGGGTGAGTGGTTAAACTAAATGTGCAAGAATGGAAGAGTACTTAGCAACAAGAAGACCAAATTATGGCTAACCAGTGACACTAGCAACCACTTGGATGAATCTCAAGGGATTATGTTGACTAAAAAAAGTTGTATATTGCACAATTCCGCGTATATCACATTTTTGAAAGACAAAATTAAAGAGATGGAGAAGAGATCTGTAGTTTTTACAGGGTAGAAAAACAGACAGGCAGGGAGAGAAGCAGCTATAGTATACAAGGGAAGTACTAGAGATCCTTAAGGTGGTGAAACTTCTGTATCTTGACAGTGGGGATGGCCACCCAAATCTATATGTGTAATAAAATGCACACACACATGTGAGTATATGCAAAGCTGGTGAAAGCTGAATAAGGTCAGTGTATTATTTCAATGTTAATTTTCTGGTTGTGGTAGTGTACCATAACCATGCAAGATGTTTTCATTAAGGGAAATTGGGTGAAGATCTCTCTGTATCATTTCTTAGAATTGCATGTGAATTTAGGATTATCTTAAACTTTGAAAAAACAAACGAACAACTCTCCTTCTCCTAAAAACGACCCTATCAGCCTCTAGATGGCAAACCAAGTACACATACAACTTATTCCAGCCCGTTTTATATGCCTCTCCCTTGAGATGTGAACGTTTATGCCAAGCCTTTATTTCAGTAGGCAGGGCAGGGGTGGGCCTCAGATGAAAAACATGTACCAGGCTGTGAAATAAGTTTTTGTTTCGCCTCAGATTTCTCAATTGCAAAATATGAAGAAATATTTTTTTCATGGACTTGTTTTATGTCTAATGGATTTCTTTTTTAAAAATCTGTCCTTCCAAAAATACAGGCTATTGAAAAATCATGTTCTTTCTTTTATGTACATACTCTCTACATAAAAATTCTATTACTCTGGTTATTTTGTGATTTTTTAAAATCAGGCATGAAGCATATTTAGATCATGAGTTTTATAGCTAAGAATATGATACATAAAGTCTCCACTCCCACAGCTTATTAAATGGCAATTTGGTTGTGTGTGTATGTGTGTTTGTGCATGCACACATGTGTGTGTTCATAGTATAATAAAAGATACTAAATTGGTTAATGTGCTTTTCCCTTTTTATTGACCCACCAATTCAAATTCTCATCTTTTATTTCCTGGAACTAGAATCTAAGATAAATAACTGCAGATGTTTGGACTTCCCTAGACAGAGATTTGAAAAAACAAGGTCAGGTATGACATTTCTGCTGAAACTGCATGTGGATTAGCTAAGATTACTTCCCTTCTATGGATGTATCTGGGGACAAGTTTCATCCTGAACTCTTTTACTGCTATTGTTAGAGATTTAACATATTTTCATAACCTGACTTGGCCAAACTTGTTCTGATTACATGTGTACTTTTCTGAAAAATATTTTAGGACTTAACAAAATTGAAGTATCATTTCTGTAATAGTATGAATGCAACTGTGAACTTTTAGTTTAAAACATTTGACCAAAAATTGCTAAAAACACAAATAATTAAAATTTTATGCCTAACATAGACTCAGTAATATCCTTCCTAAGCTGACATTTTCAACTGGCAGATGATTGCATCACCAATAGGTTGGAATTGATTCAGAGAAAAAAAGATGTTTGCATCTGTAGAATGTTAATGCATTCTTCAAGAATAGCATAAAACAGGGCTGAGGATTTAGCTCAGTGGCACAGCACCTGCCTGGTAAGCACAAGCTCGTGAGTTCGATTCCTGGTACCGGAAGAAAAACAATACAACAAAAAAAGAATAGCACAAAACATGAATATTATTAGAAATCAACTTAGAAGGTCTGGTCATTTAAAGAAAATGTATGGTAAATTTTTTGTAAAGTGAAGGATCGTTTTGTAATTTCTCTAGTAATTTTCCATGTTATAACTTTCTTAACTATATGATATGTTTTCACATACTTTAGAATTTATTTTAGAATGTCAGAGAGGCTATAAACACACACCAATATTGATATACCCACACATTTAATCATTATGGGTGAGAAAAAGTATAAAAAAAGAGTGTTGGATAGGGTTTGCACTCTGTAACTGGTTCCCCAACCTGAGGGCCAATGTACTTTCTATGATTCTTTCTTCACTCAGAATACAAGACAGAGTTTTTCACCAGGCTCCACTACTTATATAATGTCCATGGTCAAATCACCAACCAGCAAATGCCTACACTGAGGATGTGCAGTCCACTTGGTTGGACAAATCAGCAGGCAACCTGAGAGATTTGGTATCAATCAGGGCAAGGATTAGAATTCCAAGTTTTATAGCAGTGAGGCCTTTTCTGCTCAAGCCAATTTATTTCTGAAGATTTTCCCTTCAGAGAGGAGAGATCTGACTGAGGAGGGCTTCCCCAGCCACTATGGATTGGCTTAGCCCTTTTGCGAGGTGTAAGGGATCTTAGGCAGAGGCAGGGGAGAAGGTGGAGAGATCCTCAGCGGTTTCTTCAATGGAAACAGTGATCATTTAATTCCAAAGAGAATATAGAAGCCACCATAGATTAAAACAACCCTTTCTGACTGTGAGGCCAGAGCTAAGCCTCTCAGTGCTGGGATGCGGGGTGCGAACTGAGGTCCGCCTAGGGCTTAGCACTGGCTACTTCCACGCTCCTGCGGCTCTTCTAAGGCAGGGATTTTTTAGCAGACCACAGATGAGTGAGCCTCATCTGGATCCTTCCTCTGTCCTTCACTGCCAGCAGATCTAACTGGGAAATTTCCTCAGGGCTCGGGAGTTGGAAAATTCAATGGTGAGATTCTGAAAGCTTGCTGCCTTGAGGAAAGTTGCATAAATCTTTGAAGAAAAGATCCAAAGCAATTTAATGAGTACACAGTAATCAAACGCAGGGCCCTCCCAGGTGCTGGAAAGTCAAGATCAAGGAGAGTAACTGTTGGGACCATCTTCTGTATGATTAATGCAAGTTATTCTCTGCTTATTGCAGACAGCAGAAGTAGGGAGAATTTGGCTTTTTAGTTTCAGCCTGCTGCTTACTTGGAAGAGGGAATTTTCTCTGTGAATTCTTTTTCTTTTTCTTTTTAAATTTAAGCTTATGGGTACAATTTAGGTATACATAATGACCATATTCATTATAGCAAATTTGTATCAGTACATGATATACCTTGATTCCTCTTTTTTTCCCGTCCTCCTTCCCTCTTTGCAAACTCCCTTCCCCCTCTCTGTTCACAAAACTCAGTTTTCATTTTGTCCTGCTTTTCTCATTTTTCTTCTTCCCTTCCTTCCTTTCCACTCTCCTCTTCATAGTTCCCTTTTCCTTTTCAACCATTTCTTCCTATTTCACAACATCTACTGTACATTTGGATTCTTATTTGCATTTTCAGTTTCTCACACCAGAGAGATAATGAAATATTTACATGAGTTTGCAATTTATTTCACTTATGGTTATGGTCTCAAGATCCACCCATTTAGCTAAATATGTCTCTATTTTATCTTTATTTATGGCTGAGTAATATTCCACTACAGAAAAAAAAATCTTTTTTATCCATTAATTGGTTGATGAGTATTTGGGTTGCTTCCAAGTTTTAGCTATTAAACTGTGCTGCTATAAATACAGGTGCGTTCAGTTCCCGGTACCGGAGAAAAACCAAAAAAAAAAAAAAAAGAAAAAATCTTATAAATACAGGTGCGCATATATTGCTGTGGTACAATGCTTTTAACTCTCCTGGGAAGATACCAAGAAGGGGAATAGCTGGATCAAATGGGACTGCTAATTCTAGTTTTTTTTTTGGAATCTCCACACTGATTTCCACAGTGGTTGCACCAGCCTACACTTCCACCAAGAGTGAAGCGTTCCTATTTCCCCACAGCTCTGCCCAGAATTATCAATAGCATTCCTGTACACAAATAACAGACTCACTGAGAAAGAAGTTAGGGGAACAACACCCTTCACAATAGCCTCAAAAAGAGACATATTTAGGAATCAGTCAAACAAAGGAAGTAAAAGATCTTTCCACTGAAAACTACAGTACTCTGAAAAAGGAGATTGAAGAGGATATCAAAAAATGCAAAGCTATCCCTTGCTATTGGGTAGGAAGAGCAAATGGCCATATTCCCAAAACTGTTATAAAGATTTAATGTGATCCCAATAAAAATACCACTAGAATACGTCACAGAATTAGAGAAAACAATTCTAAAATTCATTTGGAGCCAAAAGAGACCTAGACTAGCAAAAGCAATTCTAGGCAACAAAGGCAAGGCAGGGGGCATCACAACCTCTGACTTGAAATTATACTACTGAGTTACTATGATAAAAACAGCATGGTACTGGTGAGAAAACATACCTGAGGATCAATGGAACGAACTAGAAGATGCAGAAACAACTCCAAACACACTCAGCCATCTGATCTTTGACAAAGGGGGCCAAACACACTTACCATAAAAAGGATAGCCTCTTTAATAAATATTGCTGGCCATTCAAGAAATGCAAATTAAAACAATGCTAAGATTCCATCTCATTCCAGAAAAAATGGCTATTATCCCTGTGAATTCTTCACAAGACCTCATCACTAGAAAATGTGTTAATTCAAGATAGAGCTATTTAAAACATTAAGTGCACATGTTTGTAAAATTGAGAATCTGAAACTACTTAACGTTGGTTAGTAGCTCATCTGCTGATGATAGCATGTCTTAAGGAGTGGCAGAAATAGTTATGCATGGATATCAAGTACATACAAGTATAATTTTTCAGTTGTTTCATACCGTTATTCAACAGAATTACCATGAAAATATAATAGCATAGGAACAATAAGTGGATATAGTTAAAAAGTATTTGTGCTATATTGTCTTAGGACAATTCAATACAAACAGAAAATCAATTCTGAGAAGTACTACTCACCAAGGTGCAAAAAAAGGGTTAGATGAAATTGACCCTTTCATCAGGAATGATTAAATGCAGTTATAGTAGGCTTAAAAAAGTAAAAGTCAGGATCAAGCATTGCCATCACCACATATTATGTAAAAGCCATGAAATTTGTTCTTATCTATTAGAGACATAAAATATCTACAATGCTTAGTTCCTTAAAAATAACAGTATAGGGGCTGGGGATTTAGCTCAGCAGCACAGCGCCTGCCTGTCAAGTGCAAGGTCGTGAGTTTGATTCCTGGTACCAGAAAACAAACAAACAAACAAACAAAAAATAACAGTATATAAAAACTCAACAAATATTTGTTTGCTATTAATATTTGTCATTTTTGAAATCACAGAATAAATTTATGGGAAATTATATGAAATGTAATTTCTTTTACATATTTACTTTTACCTATTATTCCTATTCTCAAAAATTTTTGCCTAAAATAATTGCACAATTAACACATCTCATTATAGAAAAAGTAGAACGTTCAGAGAAATGGGCAAAATTAAGAAAATATCACCTGTGTTGCCACTTTTCACAGAAAAATGGTTCCATGTTTTTTCTTGGTATGTAAATAATTTTCAGAAATGATATCATATGGGTTACAGTCACTTGCTTCAATTTATTCCAGACATCTTTCTGTGTCAACAAATGCAACTTTTTTCTTTCTGTTTTTGTCTTTTTTGAGACAGGGTCTCGCTCTGCAGTTCAGGCTGGCCTTGAGCTCACTTTGTAGCCCAGGCTGGTCTTGAACTTGCAAGGATCCTCGTACCTCAGCTTCCCGAGCACTGGGATTACAGGCGTGTGCCACCACGCCTGGCACAACTTTTATATTTTAATTTTTTAGCACATGTTTGTGACACATAATGAATACATTCACTGTGGCAGTTGGTACATGTACCTGACACATCTTAATACTTTTCACACCTCCCAGCATCTCTTGGTCCCCTTCCCATAAGCGAAAGATCTTCCTGTTTCCTATTATTTATTTTTGTTCTTTAATTTATTCATGTTTTTTAGTGTCTCATATAAGAGAGACCACAGGATATTTAAGCTTGTGTATCTGATTTATTTCCCTTAACATTACAGACTCGTGCTGCATCTATATTCCTACAAATGACTCCAATTTATCTTTATTATAGCAGAGTAGCACTCCATCGTGTATAAATACTATACTTCCTTTATCCATTCATCCGTCGGTGGCCATATTGGATGCTTTCGAGATTTAACTACTGTATTCTTAATTGTGCTACTTTAAACATGGGTGTGCGTGTATCACTGTAACATGATGTTTTAACTCTTTTGGGAAGATACCTAGCTAGGGGATAGCTGGGTCAAATGGAATTTCTAGCTTTAATTTTTTGAGGAATCTCCATTCTGATTTCCATAGTGGTTGGATTAGTTTACATTCCCACCAGCAATATAGACATCCCCACAGCCTTGCCAGCATTTGCTGTGTTTTCTTGATGACAGCCATTGTTTCTAGAGCAAGATGGAATCTCAGTGTTGTTTTAATCTGCATTTCTCTAATAGCCAGTGATGCTGAACATTTTTTCAACATCGTTGCACTTGCCCAGTGTTTGATTGGGTCTTTTACTTGGGGGAGG